ACTAGACGTCATGTTGCAGAAGCCCTTCTGGGTGATTAAGTTATGGTTTGAAGAAAGTTATTGTCACTTAGAGACATCAGGGCAGCCAAGTTATAATGCTTTTCACTGAGAAATTACCAAATTACCTTTTTCACTATTCCAAACAATGTTCTCTGCTTTGTATGTAAAACAGAACTGTTACTGTGGCTTCACTGACATCCTGTTCTTAGTTCACTCCTTTCCTTTCCCCACCAGCCAAAGGCATTGTACCATTTGGAATGCTGTTCCCAGGAACACATCCCTTTCATCTGGTGTTCTTCTAAATGCTCACCAGTCCATGATAAAACACAAGTTCTTCTGAAGACACTTATGAGTTAATTGGCTGAAAAGGCTGGTCCTCGTGTAGGAGTATTCTACTTTTTTTGTAGCCCAGCTGCCTAAGGACACAGAATGTGTCCTTCTGCCCATGGTCGTCAAGCCAATTTCAGTGAGGACTGAGCCCTCAAGCTCACTACAACTAATTCAGCAGTTAGGCAAAGGTCTCCAAAGATTCTATGTTTTCAGAGTTGATGAAAATGGCCTGGGAGAAGGAAGAACCCTTGTTTGTTCCCTCAGTGGGAGAAAAGTTATATGATATGTTCAAGCCTTCTTTGGCACCAGAGGGTCCTTACAGAAGCCATGTCAACTCTGAGCACTAATGTAGAATAAGATGGGTTTCATGAGTTGTGCTGCTCACTGAAGAACAGATTTAAGACAGTTTGTAATGTTAAAGTTAACATAAACCAAATGAAAAGCAATAGCAGAGACAGTGTTCTTGAGAAAGTCTGTTGAGAGTAGCTGGACACTTGCTTCTCTTTATCTTAAAAGATTACATTTGGAGCAGTCCCTCAGTTGGGCAACAGTACAGGTCAAGGTCTGCCACAGCCTCAGGGAACTGGAACACCCAGGTCCCAGCTAAACATCCTAACCACTGATTTGTAGGTACTTCTTAAACTCTCCTGCCCCATGGTGCATTTGGGGTTTGTGAATTTAACCAGAATATCTTTTTCATCACAAAGATTTCCCCACTTCTGAAGCACTGCCAAATCAGCGCTTAAATATGCTCTACAATACATGCTGCCAACTCATGACACTCACTGCTGCTACTCTGAAGCGTTCACTGCGTTTTTACTTCCTTTTATCGGCACAGGTTTCTGCCAGTGAATCAGTCTGCTAGTGGAGACAGACTGCGGCAGAAGACACAAGCAGGGCAGTCAAAGCAGAGGTAAGGTGCTTGTACATATGTGTACATGATCTCTTTCTCTGTTGTCTGATGAACATAAAGATTTTCAGTCTTGCTTTTGTGCAGTTGCTTGTAAGAATAGACAGCTTTCTGCCTCTCTGATCTGTAAGCCTATTGCTATGCACAGAAGTGCTTGTTTGCTAAAGTTTGAAGACAAAGAAGTTTGACCTGCACAAAAGGAAGAAAAAGAGCAACTATTTCATTTTCTTCTACTTGTTTTATTCAGTCTGAGAACAAGGGAATGACAGTCCCAGTATTGCAACAGTGTGTGTAAACTGGCCTCCTGCTTTTGCTGTGTAATGCACACGTATGTTTTGTTAGTGAGTAAGGCAGCAGATTGTCATATGCATTTAGTCACAGTTGCTTTTCTGGTTGGTGTGTGTATGCCTTACAGCTTATACGAAATAAATTTTAGGCTGCTTAAAGCACAAGGATAGATGGATGAATTTCTGAAGGGCTTGTATCTTAGTTTCACTAAATCTTAAAAGTACCTAAAGAACTTTCAAGGGCATTTCTCTCTCTGACCTCTTTTCCTTCTAAGTATGTTCTTTTATGACAGTTTATGATGCCCAGTATTTCCTTACAACTTCATCTCACTAGATAAAACAGCTGTTAGTGTCTCCTAACTGTCTTTACTCCTGAAGCTTAGGGGAGCAGTGGCCTGCCAAGACTGATATTACTTAGCCCACTGTATCTGATTTAAAAGGCAAATACCTGGAAGTCCATAAGCCATGCCAGCTAAGCCAGGTGATCATACAGTGCATTGAGAAAAGTTTGCCCTAACAGGAGGGATAATTTAGCCTCTGCATTGCCTCAACTAGTCTTGGTAGTCACTTGAAAACAAGCTGAGACATTAGCAGAACTTTTTCTTCCCAAATGAGATTCCCTGTGCAGGGAGAGGGAGGCATATTTTACCCCCATTAGAACAGAGTAAAACAGCAGAAAGCAAAAAAGAGTATTGTGCTGATTGAATATTTAGTTGTGAGGCTTCCTTTTTTGACAGTAAAAATTAAGAAGTATTTGATATCCAAAGGGAATTGAATGAAGTGTGTTTTGATGCCAAGTTTAAAGTTTTGGGTGTTTCTAAACGCTGCTTCATTCCAACTGTGTGGTGACTCATGAGGTTTGACTTCTTTACATTTGTTCAGTCAAATTTAAATGTTAAACTGAAGATCAGAAAAAGTCAAAACTCCTTCTCCTATAAGGAGATTCAGAGTGCAAAAATCTCTTGGTTACCCCGCCCTCAGTCTCACAAATCCTGCTCATTTTCCCCATTACTTGCCAGGGAATACTCTTACTTTCTCTTGATCTGTAGTTCCAAGTCCAAATAAACTTCATAGACCAGCATGTCTTGTCATAGCAGACGTCTTATGCTAGAAGCAGACTCCAGAAACATGTGGCTGCATGAGAACCTCTGTTCTTCATTAAAAATTGGATTCTCCATGTCTAGTGGACCTAGCAATGCCTGTTTTCAGAAAGACTTGTTTCCTGAGTCTGCTTAAATGCCTAATGCAAAATATAATATAGGCATGTGTCCTACCAAATTCTCTCACAACCCTTGATGCCCAGCCTTGCATGCTGTGGCTACTTTGAAGGTACATGGACACTGACTAGTTGGCTAGTTCACTCTTGTTGACTGCTCACCTGGTTGTAGAACATACAACGGCTGCCTTCAGCCTGCCTTCCTGTCAGCAAGGCACTAACCCTGCTGAATAGTCCTCCCCCAGCAAATAGTCCTCAGGAGCTCCTGCAAACCCCGCTGCCTTACAGACTTGTATCTCAGTGCTGAACTTGGCAGATATTTACCAATGACATCAAAAGTTGATTACAGGATGGACAGAAAGGTGAACTAACATAAACACACCGTGGTCATAGAAGAATGCCCTCTTCTTCTGAGGAAACCAAGCCTACAAGAGCAGTAATGTCTCCAGTCATTACTGGTGAGGCAATCTTACAAGACGCCTTGACAAGTTGAAGCCTTACATTGTATTACGCGTCCCTTTTGTCCCATCAATTCTATTGTTGAACATTTAGGTAGCCTGCCTGATCTTTATGGTCTTTATCCATATGCAGAATGGCTGCTACTTTTCTCTTTGCAGCCCTCATTCTCTCCTCACACAGGTAGGCACAGCATACAACAACAAATAGATGTATAAGGTCTTTTCCACAATGTGTAAGCACAGTCCTGAGCTTCATGGATGAATTCTTTTTGTACAGTTGTTTGGATTGGAAAGAAAAATCCCATCCTTCCCATCCTACCTACTTGCAGCTCTCTTGTAAGCAAGGAGCACTGAACATGTCAGCACTTCTCTTGCTCTCTAGTTTTAACTCACAGTCCCATACCCAGTAACTTTCAGAGACACAGAAACTGCTTTTCCCTTTTCTAGCAAGCATTTGAGTCAAAATTTCCATGTTGAAAAAAAGGTCTGGGAAGCTCGCAGAGAGGAGTGTTCCTGCACTCATTGACTGTGTTCTGGAAAATAAAGACTAAAACCTGGAAGCATATCTTCTGTAGGTGGAGTCGGCATAAACTGGTGCTAGATAGGCTGTACTCTGCAATTTCTATTCAGAAAAGCTAATCTGGTACCACTACTCAACCAGGAGAGGCCAAGGTCTTACCTCCCCATGACCAAGACAAGATTTGCAGTATGGACAGCCATTTCTAAGAGGTAAAGGAGACAGGCCCTTGGCAACATGAAGGCAGTCTCAGGATCCATCACTGACTGCTCTAAAACCAAATCATTCCATGGTTTCTCAGCTGGTGGCAGACATTGATTTTGAGACACAGAAACTTCGAGCTCAGAAGTAGCAGTAGGAAAAATACAATTATCTGGGGATAGCAGAGCAGGTTCTTGGAAGAAGTGGGCAGCAAGGGGATGGTGAAAAAGCCTGAAGGATGGTAAATGGGGACCTAGATGATTCAGTTTCCATCTGAAAGACAAGGTTGACTGGGAACTGACTCATGGGTCTTCCGGGGAGCCACACATGGTCACCTTGTTCACTTCATATTCCCAGAGGAACTAATTTCAAACAGAACTTGAACCTGGTCTGCGGCACATCACCCCATGGTGAAAGCACAAGCTGGCACTGATTTGGTGCACACATGTTCCCCTAAGCCTGTTACATCTCCTCCCAAAGTCCCTGAATCACTCCTGACTTCTGCACAACCCTTCATGAGCCTCATTGACTGATCCGTCGCCCCGGCACGCCACTGACCAGCACAAAGAATGGTATTTGATCCTAAAGGAGGAGAGGGCAGGTGGAAAGAGAGACCTTTCCAAACCTCTCTCACCTCATTCCTGAGGAGACAAGAAACAAACAGTGCTTTCTTCTCCTTTCACCTCTCCTGCTGGCAGAGAAGCAGAGGCACATAAAGGCAGACAAGCTGGGTGATGGTCATCTCAGGTACTCATGCTTCTTTGTCAAACTTCTGCTAGACTCACACCAGGAGCTGGCCCTGTCTACCAACCACAGCTCCCTTGTCATCTGCAGAGTGCTCAGGCATATTCTCGCATAGTATCCCCCAGTGTTTTCCTCACCTGTTCTGCAACCCTCCCTGTTACACAGCATGAGCTGTAGACAGTCCCTCCTCACACATGTCCTTCTTCTGGCAGCCCCTTGGGGAATAGACCTTGGGCAACCTTCAGGAGACTCCCCACTTGGGTCTTCCTGTGGAATTTCACACCACTCTCTTCCTAACACAGACACCCCTGCATGTGCTCTTTCACACAGCCCCGAGATGTGGTGCCTCCTTGTGCTGCTCTGCTCCCAAGGAATTGCCTTTTCAGCAGGATTCACAACACCCTCCACTCTGAATTCAGACACAAGCCAGCACAGGAAGCCTCGCAACCCTGAATGCTTTATGAATGTCGTAAGTTGGGTCACTTTCCCTTTCTTTCTAAAGCATCTCTCCCAGTACCACTAACACTGCCCCATCACTAACAGTCCCTGTCAGGAGGCTAAGAAGGGCCCCTTCCACAATTCCCGTTTTCCCATCCTGCCTTTTCCAAAACCACCGCATTAGAGTCACTACTGTAATGAGGGCCAGCTCTGAATGTGCCAGAGACAGATGTGACTCTTGCACGTTGCATGAGGACAGACACATAGCACTGCAATGAAGAGTGCTGGCTGCTACTTTTGGCTCCAGGGCCAGGCAACTCCCCAGAGCATCGAGGGGCACTGGAGATACAGGCTACTGAATTTTGACCCCAGCAACAGGACTCAGCCCTGGACTGTGGCCAGAGCACATACTACATGCTCCAATCCATACCAACCTGAACAACAGACATTCACTGCCTGCATTTAGAGTGAACCCCAACAAATATATGATGAACATGAGGCTGGGCCATGCCTCATGACACTTGTTTGCAGTCACCTTTCTCAACACATGTTGGTATTTCTGGCTATTGCACAAAGAAGGGAAGAGTGCAAACCTGGCAAGAGGACAAAGATCCCTCCAGCATTGTGATAGCGAGCACCTGCCTAGAAGAAACCTTGATGCTCCTATCCAAACAGTCCATGCTCCCAGAGAGAAATATTCCTTTGCAGTGGAGGCAAAGGCTGGTTTCTTGTCTGAAGGGAAGCAGAGTCCTCCCCTTCTGTAACAACCTGTGTGCTCACTACAGTGGCAAGGGAGGTTGAACCCCTTCTTCAAACAGCAGATTCTCACAACACAAAGTAATCCAAGATGAGATACCTTGCTCTGAATCACCAAAGATTTCCCCACAGTACATGCAAAATCAGGTGTAGGTGGTCTCATGAGTTCCTTAGCGACAAGAGCTCCACCCTTGTTTGCCTTGCCTGCATGGCTTGCCTAATCACACTTTGGCAAGAATGGATTCATTATGGCCCAAAACCCACAGCTTTTGGCACTGGTATATACAGATACTGCTACATATTTAGTCTGTAGAAAGGTATGATCTGTATGAGCCTTACAAAACATGACAAACTATCTCCTAAAAGGTTAGTCACTCAATACAGTTCTGCTTTGTCCCATCATATGGGGCCAAATACCAGACAACTACCACCTAAGCAGGTCTGAAGAAGACTTTGATGCATCTTTGTACATGACCTGTAATATTTATTCTCAGCCATGGTCCCAGTGGCTTTGCACTACCATCACAGAACAGCCCACATCCACACTGCTTAGCTTGTTTACCCTCCAAAACAGGACAACTTGCGTGTTAACAAACTCTCCCTTGGCTTTCCACAGAGTGAAATTATCAGATATCATGGATACTCCAGCGAGGAATATCAAGTTACCACGGAGGATGGATACATTCTTGGTCTTTTTAGAATTCCTGCTGGGAGGAACAGCCAAAATACAGGTGTGACACAGTTATAGCACATAAGGAAATTCTGAGAGCCAATTCTTACATGGGGTCCCCACCTTTCCCCTTTGCACATGCAATGGCATGTTCCACACCTTTCCATCTCAGGAAGAGCACCTAGTCAGGAGTGTGGAATGGGGCCTGAATTCTGTATCCATCTGAAGTTCACATATTCAGTGTCTCTGTCCTTATTTCAGACTTTTCTAATAATTTTGTCATATCCCAGTTTTGTTCCCTCATGTGGGCTGGGGGAGGATTTAGTAGACTGGATTTGGGGAGGTTTTGCATTAACACCCTAAGTAATATACATTTAAAATAGAAGCCTGACAACAAAGCCTCTCAGGTTGGGCATATGAATATTAATTCCCAGCCTTCTGAAGGACGGAGATATTCTTGAGGAAAGTGATAAGAAATCAGATCATCAAAGAAAAGCAAATGCATTTCATCTGTTTCATCACATTTTCTGAATGGAATAAAAATTTCTACCTGGAATTCGAGGTGCCCTGGATACTGCTACTTTGTTTATTACTCCTTGTTAGAATTAGAGAATAATTTGTTTTGGATGCCTCCTCCTATTTGGATCTCCTCCTTCGGAGATCATCTGGACCAGCATCACTCTCAAAGTAAGGTTAACCAATGTTAGGTCAGGGGCCTCTCAGCCCTGCTCAGTTGGTTACTGAATAGACCCAAATGTAGATATGCTTCTTTGGATATATTATTCTTTGTCTTCCATACACTATTATGCCTTCAGCAGTTTTCAGCTGTGGGCAGATGGTTTCAATATAGGGACCTGTAAGTTGGCTTTCCAGTGCAAAAAGAAGTGGGGACAGGCCTCCTCATTAAATTCTTTATTTGCCAGTCATGTCATGAAATAGTTATGAAATGTCATGAAACGGTTCCTGCTTGAATGGAACAAATCCTTCAGGTTTCTCAGACCAATATCTATGCATAGTTTTCCTGGGAGCTTCTTGAAGAAGGAAGGATTTAAAACCTCTCACAAACTAAACTCTGCACCCCAATCTTAAATACACATTAACTGCTGCTCCAATGTAAGAATACTTTCATCTTTTCCAGGGCAAAAGCCTGTAGTCTTCCTACAGCATGCTTTTCTAGGAGACGCTACCCACTGGATTTCTAACCTGCCTAACAACAGCTTGGGCTTCCTGCTCGCGGATGCTGGCTATGATGTCTGGATGGGAAACAGCCGAGGGAACACTTGGTCTTTAAAACACAAGACCCTTAATCCCAGCCAGAAAGCGTTCTGGCAGTTCAGGTACTCTGTAGGGGGAGAATTACTTAAGATGGAAACTCCGAGGGGACTAAATAGCTTCAGCCTGATGGTTTTTACCTAAACCAGCATCAGAGCAGGGTCTATACCAACCAACAAGAGTAAAGAACCAGATGAAGAAGGATGCTCACTACTACTTAGAGTTGGGATCATTGACTGGGGAAGAGATTTCAGACACTGGGAAATGAAAAGGAATGCTGAGGAAAAGGGAGACAGTACTGTGAGAGTGAGAGCAAGAACCTCAGCTGGAACAGGCTGAGCAGCCTTGTCTAGAAATCTCTGATCTCTCACAGCTAAATTCAACCAACCTATGCTAGTGAAAGCACTGATTAAATTCCATTCCCCAAGGGCTGCAAGTGACAGGTGAAACTGGTACCTCCTCTGCAGAAAGCCCAAGGCATCAGGCAGCCTGGCAGTACAGCTGCGTCTCCTCTACCCCTTCCCCAACTCAAGCAAAATGCAGACAAAGCATGCAACCTCATCTTTCAGTTGGTCCTGCTTGGTGCAATGAACAAAACTGACATTCAGTTACTCACACTGTGATAGCTGAATTATCTGCTAGCTTTTTGTGTTTTTCCCCTGTAGCTTTGATGAAATGGGTAAATACGATATTCCAGCAGAGCTGTACTTCATCATGAATAAAACTGGACAGAAGGATGTATACTATGTTGGTCACTCTGAAGGCACAACAGCAGGTAATGTCAGGACACTCATGGTTCACAACCATTCATGTTCCTATCTGATCAGTAGGTGTGTCTCCCCATTGATCCAGTTGTTTCTCTTGTTTGTGGAGAGCTAGCAAATGTAGAAGTGCCTTCTGACTTGAGATTTGGAAAATATGCAAAACTTTTCTAAAACCAGCTTTGTTTACCCTTAATAAACAAAGAACCCTAATCCAAATGTAGTTCAACTTTCTAAATAATTAGAGACATAAAAAGTGGTTATTTACTGGGCACTTCAGGTGCTGGCACTGGGTATTTTTCTTAAATTCTCAGCAACAGGAATTTTCATTAAGTTCATCTTTTGTATTAAAACATACAATTATTTTCCTTGTGAACAGGAAGGAAAAACTAAAAAGGTAAAACAGCACATATAACATACAATTTCAAATAACAGAAGACAAGGAAAAGGAACCTCAACATTACTAAGTCATGTGACTTAATGGCAATCTTACAATTTAAAGCACAGTTCATGAGTGGCTATAACTGGCCATATTACTGTTTAAAAACGTATTGCCGGAGACTGAAAATTAGGAAAGAAAAAACATTAGTAACTTATTTTCTCTTAGTGCCAGCCTTTAGCATTAACTCACTTCATGGAGTCTGAATGCAACTAACTTTCTTTTAGCATCAGCTGAAAGTTCCTGATGTTTATGGTTTATGTGTAAGATCCATGAACGGTCATTGATTAGAAATGAGCAACTGCCAGTTCATTAGTGTAAACAACCCAGAAAAAAGGGAAGGAAATGTGGGAAAATCATATATTGTCACAGCTCCAGACCTTTTCTTTCTTTTCCTCTTATAAGAGTATTTAAAGACCCTCATGGCAAAACAAACTAACCATCTAGGCTTTCTTCAGCTGCCTTTGATGCAAACAATCAGTTGAAAACACTGAACGATGCCAGTATTCAGCTAATTATTCTACAGTTTCATGGAAGCATAAACATACATAGACCTTTAGAGACTATAATCTGAAAAACTCATTTTTTATGAGAGTTTTTTGAACTTTAGTGGGAATTGATTTTATCACAAAAACCTTATTGACATGGTACCTACAAAAACTGTTCTGATAAAGGCAACGTCCAGACGTGCTCTAAACCTCAGAATGAACTTTGTCTCCCAAATAAAATTTATTTCAGGACTTAGGTTCAACACTCGCCTTCAGTAAAATATGCAGCACAGACAAACATGGACAACAGACAATGGGCTGCAAATCTAGTCTCACTTCTTGTTTGCTACCTGCTGCTGATTTATTTATTTTGTCTGTGAAAGATGTCATCACTAACTCAGGCTGTCCCTTCTGTGTTTGCAGGCTTCATAGCATTTTCTACATACCCTGAGCTGGCTAAACGGGTGAAAATGTTCTGTGCTCTGAGCCCAGTAACCACAGGCTCACATGCTACAAGCCCTCTGATTAAGATAACAAGTGTTCCTGAACCACTGCTCAGGGTATGTCATTTTTCCTTCTAAAAGAGGCCCGATGCCTGACTTGCTTTCACAGGGTTCACTCAACCTCAGATGAAGTGTTCCCAAACAGGTGACATGCTGATACTGAGCTTGGGATGAATCAAGGGCTCTTGAAAAATCTGTTCCCAAACTCTGTGGGGAAAATACTGGAGATATAGGGTTTGTAGCGGCAAGTACGAGACTTGTGAAACTGTCTCATCATAGGACTCTTGCTCTTAACTAATATTTTGCTGGCCTCATGCAGGAAGAACTAAACCAGAGCTGCAATAACAACCATGACAACCTCTGGGACTTCAGAAATGAGTGAGCATTGAGGTCACTACGCTAGAAATGGGAGGATGGCTTCCTCCAAGATTGATGGCAGTAATATGAAGAAGGAAGGATATGTGATGCACAATGGAGAAGAAAGTGTTTTAAGGGGTACTGGGAGGGCAAGCTCTTTCAGCAATCTTTGAATACTGAGTTAGGAGGCTAGGCTATTAGCAACAGTTTCCTGCATAAAATGCCCCTGTAACAAGAAAAAAAGTGTTGCGCTTTTCCGTTCCCTCAGTTAGCATTTGGCTGCAAAGGAGCCATGCACCAGATTGGATTTCTGAAAGGACCTGTGACGCAGTTGTGTACAAGCCTGGATAAGTTCTGTGGCCATGTACTCTGTTACATAGCTGGAGGCAACATAAAAAATCTGAACACGGTAAGTATATGCAAGAGCACCTACTCAAAGTAAAACTACCGTGATTTTGGAAGTTACATTTGTGCACGCTATCCTTATCTAGTAACTGTCATGCATGTAAATGTACATAAACCACAATGTAGTTCTCAGCAGATCGAGGGAATGCCAGGGCATTGTGTGGTGCAAACACAGGACTAGAGCTAATGATGGATGGGACCAACAACTAGGCACATTCCAATCCCAGAAAGAAAGGACTGAATTAAGTCTGGAGCTATATTGCATACGTAATAGATGTGCCCTCTTTTGGGGCTAAGCCAACCAGATTTTGGTCATACACAGATGCTCTTTAAAAAGACCCAATGGATGATGGAGTCAGACTTCTTGGTCATACAGTTCCCTGTTTCCTTCCTTAGCATGCAGACACCAAGGTCCTCTGAACACTGGAATAATTAAAAGGCAGGAAAAAGCTCCTTTTCCCTTGCCACTTTTCAGACTACTTGCACCAGAACTTGATCCCAAAGAACTACCATAAGGAGCATTCTCCCATTTTTGTTGTCCTTAGAACTGGGCCCAACAGCTCAATCCACAACATGTAGAGCTACAGAAAGTCCTTCCACTGTGTCTGAGGAGTGCAACATAACTACAGTACGATTCACAAAGACTAGTGCCTCAGTCAGTGGGAACAGGAGAGACAAGAGGGTTATCCCTATGCTTGCTGACATATGGGCACTGTAGTGTGTCTTAAATCCCCTTTACAGTGGCCAAAGTATGCAGAAGCTGGCCTGTGTAATGTTTATTACTGCAATATCTGTAAAGTCTGGGGCCTATTCTTCTCCATCTATAACCATTGCAAAAAGCACATACGGGAAAGAAATGAGAATCAAAGGTTCAATGCAAAACCAATTGGAGGCATTGTGGCCCTTTTGAATTGCAGAGCTAAACTATTAAGGATCTTTCCTGACTTCGGTTAAGTCACAAATGTTGTTCTTAGGGCAAGATACCAAGTCTGAGGAGGAATGCAGGGAGATGGAATTGGAACATCTCCTTAACAGAACTATAAAAACGCAAACAGAAGAAAAAGCAATCTGTTTTGTAATCTGCCTTCTTTAGCACTAGGAGTAAAATGAAGAGAAAAATAAATCTTCAAAAGACTTATACATGCATGGGGGTTTGCTGTCAGGTGAGTAATCTACTTTGAAAGGACTGGAAGGTTTTTCCGAGGATCCCACAGTAGTACTATCTTCATGGAACAGACTAACTTTCATGGAAAAAGTGTGCAGATGCATACTATTAACCAGCTATTCCTAAGTCTGCTTCTCAGTTTTCTATCTGATATTTGAAGAACATCCTATAAAAATGGGGTTTTAACACAGCAGCAGTATGTTGCTCAGGTCCTTCACAGCTTTATTCAGTCACAGCACTGGATCACTGCCTTTATAACACTTCTGCTTTCTCTCCAGAGCCGGATAGATACCTACGTAGCACATTCCCCTGCTGGAACATCTGTACAGAACATTATTCATTGGCATCAGGTATAACTGTGTACTGATGTGTAAACAGACTCTTACTACTGCTTTTTATGCAACCAACCACCTACAGGGAATTCCAGAGGCAGTGGATCTGGGAATCTGCCCATCACATCTTCTCACATGCTGCCGTGAGCACCTGCCACAGAGGGAGCACTCTTTCCCATGGCTCACCAGACCATCACCTGAATTGCCCCTTTGGTATCAAGCACCGAGATTTCCCCAGGGCATATCAGG